AGGCTATGCCCCCTTCCCTCTAGCTCTCGAGATAAAACAGTTCGAGTTGGGGGCTTGCAGGCATGCAGTACTCACACAAAACAGAAACAGAAAGCTGCTCTCCTTGTTCTGCGCGATAAGTTCCGCATAGATTTGGTCGCTGGTCAGCTTCTCCTTGATGAGCGGCGAGAACTTTTCCTCCACGGCCAAATAGCGTTCCACCAGAGCTGACGCTACATCATCGCATTCAGCCTGGCCGGATGTTGCTGAACTCTTGTGCTCACAGCTGTGTCTGAACTCGCGGGCGCAGCGACCCAAGCAGAGGAAAAAGCAAACCCCGACAGCACAATCAGAAGCATTCGCCTCATCAGACTCAGCCAACACTTGAAATAGACACGAGCTACGAGGTTTGGAGATCCCAAAGCCACAACCGCCTCCACGGTCGAGGCCCCAAACAAAACGAGATTGCGGAGAGACGTGTCTCTTACACAAGAACGCCCCCTGCCACGCTTTGCCTAGGCTTCCGCACAGTCTTAGCTTTTAGCTGCCTCGGGAAGCTGGGAGAACATCTTCTGGGCCATCAGCGCGGGCTCCTCTTGGGAAGTGAAGCCATCCAGTACCATCTCCAGCTGCCCTTGCAGGCTGCGGTCCTCCCGGCCCATGACAGCAGATCAAGAGGTTACAGGCGCTACAATCAGTTTCTGAATGCACTGGAAGTTTGCAGGAGAATCATGATTCTGACATTCCATCAGACCAGACCTATGACTCCATGACTAGCTGGCCGAACGGTCCTTTCCATTCCCATCCGCCGAAATCGCGAAAGAACCGTCGAAGGGAACGATTTTCTTCACCTTTGAAGGATCAGAGAGCTGGAGGTTGCCCAGCAGCTCGCCTGCAGAAACAATGCTGCCAGCTCCTCGGACATGACTTACTTTGCCCGTGGCGGTTGCCTTGATAGGCATGATCATCTTCATGGCCTCAAGTTCCACGTAAGGCTCTCCCTCCTGCACCTGTCCTCCATCTTCTTGCAGGTATCTCACGATCTTTCCGTTGAACTCCGAGCGAAGCTCGGATGGATCGTAGACGGTAGGAAGCATAATCGTGCCGATGCCATCCAAGCGAAGTCGGAGGCCAAGAGCTTCATCGGAGCCCATTACCCGCATCACCGTCTTACCCACTGAAACGAGGAAGGTGCCGTCAGGCTGCGCCATGACTTGTGCCGTGAACTTCTGGTCTTTAATGCTCAGTTCGAGGAGCGACGGTCCCAATCGAGAGACTGAGAACTGGTATTTGACACCCTCGAAGGTGATTTCAACAGGGAAGGTGTTCATCTTGGACATCTCCCGAAGAGGTCCAAGCTGGCTCTTTGCCAAAGCGGCCTCCACTTCCTCATCAAAGGCCTTCAAATTCTGGACAGCCCTAAAGACGGCAGCATAGAACACCACGTCGTTGATGTTATATCTCAAACTGACCGACTTCTCCTTGATCAAGCCGTCCAGCCAGGAAGTGTCGATGCTGTTGGCCACGAAAGCCTCCTGCTGAAGAAGCTCCACCAGATACTCCACGGGATTACGGATCTCGCCGACGACCTCAATGTTCTTCAAGGACAGCATCAGAGCCTTGCGTGCCTCTTCACGGTTTGCGCCGTGCGCGAAGATGTGTCCAAACTGCGAGTCAGCATATTCGTGAATTCCCCCTTTCGCGCCAATGCTGAAGTAACCCCAGCATGAAACCGAACTTTGGAATTTGATTCGCTCGATTCTGCCACTTGTGGGCTTGAAGCCATCATCGGGATTTTCCGCGGTAATTCGAGAGGCGATGACATGCCGGTCCGGATAAACGTACAAGTCTTCCAAGAAGCTGATGGGAGACGTTTTGTCCGTGTCGCTCTTGCCATAGAAGCGTCGGATTTGGGGAACCTTTTCCAAGGGAACGCCGCTGCACACAAGCATCTGTGTGGCTGGCAAGTTGACGCGTGTCAGCTCCTCTGTCACTGGATGTTCGACTTGAAGGCGCGGATTCAATTCGAGAAAGTAGAACTTGTTCTCTTTGGAATTGTAAAGGTATTCCACGGTTCCTGGGCAAGATCGACCACACACGGGAGTGGGTGTCTGCGTACCAGAATACGTACTCTACTCTCTCTCTTCCCCGCTCGGAGCCTACCGGACCGATCAAACCCAGAAGATGCCATCCTGCTAATACTCTGTCTTTCTTGCTTCCTTCGCGCTTGAGAGCTCTCCCGCAAAGTTCCCGCATTGAGGCTTCGAAACCAGCGCTGCTTTGACCACGACTTGGCGGTCTTTTTTCTTTACTTCTGCGAGCCGAACAAGCACCCTCTTCTTCAGCTCCCCACGCCCTCTCTTCTTCTGCAGGGCTTAAGGGGCGGGTCAGGCCCCCCGGCCTCTTGGGCGCCCCGTTTGTTACGGGGCTTTCGGTAGGGCGTGAGAAGGCATGGATTCCTGCAGGTTGACAAAAACAAGTATATTGGACTATGAAATACCTGGGATCATCCATGGTTTCAGGACACATGCATTAGACCTTTCTTTCAGTGGGTAGCGAGCGACAACAACCGAACACGCCCTCTCTCCCTCTCTGTCTATTTCTTGGGGACCCAAAAAGCACATAAGCATAAGCATTTTATCGGGATATCCCTACCCTATTGGGCTTCATTATAAGGGGGTTTATATGAGATATCCCTATCCTAATTTTTGCTTCTGTGCTTTTTTGGGGCCCTAATTTCTTTCGCCAGGGCCATGGTGGGTTTGTTGCCCTCCACTTGCTTGCTTGCTTGCTGAGGGGTTTGGGCCCTGAAACGACCCTGGCCCGAAGGCCTACCCCCACAACGGTCCGCAGTCTCCTCAGCTCGAGCGGCCCCTTCCGGGGATGAGAGAAAGGCTCGTTCCCCCACTTGAGCTTGCATACCCAGTCCCCCGAAACACACCCCTTCTAAGACCGTGACCCTGTCAAACCAGCAAGCTTCAGGTGGGTCATCCGAGGTCTCTCCAGTTCGACTACGCGAAAGTGGCATGTTATTGCCCTCCACTCGCTCTCTCTCTCTCTCTCTCTCTCTCTCTCTGCTTTGCTTCGGGGTATCTCTTCTTGAGCACAGCCAGGGAAGTCGGCGTGCACTGACCCCCCGCACGATTTCGCGTATTGGGGAACTATAGTGTGCAGAGAGACACAGTTGTACAAAAGCGGCCAGGCAACTGTCCCCCCCAAAACCCCCAACCCGCCTCGAAGGCTAAGGTCCAAACCCCCCAACGGTGGGTGCCGGGAACTCTTTCTCTTAGGTTCGGACCAAGTCAGAGAAGCGCGCTTCTCTCTTCCTCCCTAAAATTGCTCAAGTGATCAATATGGCAAACCTCAACAACCGTAGATCACCGCGAGACTGCTAGGGTTCTGAGATTCTCCGGCCCAGGTCTCTCTAGAATGTTCTTACTACTGCTCCTCACTTGTCGATAGTAGTCCAAGCTTCCAGCACCAATGTACCCAATATTCTGCGTGAGCCGCTGGGCTGCCCTCTCCATCTCCAGGAATGTTTCTCTGGGAACGACCACCGGAGGCCCTTCCTCGAAGATCTTTTGGAAGCGCCTCTGCGTAGAGCAGTCGCGGCCGTTCAGGGCAACTGCATTGCCGTACTCGTCTCCCATAATCTGAACTTCAATGTGTCGAGCTCCTTGGCAAAGCTGCATCATAAAGATGGGAGATCCCGGCACCTCGTTCTGAACCTGGAAGAAGCTGCTCTCGAGGTCCTTCTCTTCCTGCACCATTCGGATGCCTTTGCCCCCTCCTCCCTCCGAAGCCTTGATCATCACCGGAAACCCAATATGCTTCACCGCCTCCTTCGCCTGCTCAACCGTGGAGACGGTTCCTTGGTCGAAGATCTCCTTGGGAATGGTGCCATCCGGGCCAAGGTCGGCTTGCAGGCCGTCACCACTCCAAGGAATCGACGGGACACCGGCCGTCTGTGCCAGAATATTGGCTGCGATCTTGTCCCCGAGCACAGACATTACAGGCGAGGTGGGTCCTACAAACGTGATTCCCAACTCCTTCAGCTGCATCGGCAGTTCGGGATTCTCAGATGCATGACCCCAGCCAGGCCAAACGGCATCTACACCCTGCGACTTGGCGATCTCAACGATCAAATCCACATTGGCATAGTTGTTGACGTTCTTTCCTCCCGGAACTTCGATATAGGTATTTGCCAACCGAATGAACTCGGCATTTGCCTCCAGATCCTCTGGAGTTGCCATGACAACAAACTCGAAGGCATTGTCCAAGCCAAGCTCCAAGTAAGCCCACTGACGCAAGGAGAGGATGGCTTTTGTGGCGGCCATGCCATTGTTTGCAATAAGCCACTTTCGCAAGATTCGCTTCCCGCCCAGGTCTTTGATGTACTGCTCCAAAACCTTCTCGGGGTCGCCTGCCTCGGTGGACTTCTCCAGAACAGCTGATGGCTGGCCCATACACACGGTCAGACCATTGATGCTTTTTGTGGTCCCACTTGTCCCACTCACGCCTCGCTTCTTCGCACCATGGCCCATCATCGCTGCCAAACCGGTGAGTGTCGCAGCTCCAGCCGTGCTTGACAGCGCTCGGCTGCTGGGCTTGGAGGGCACAGAGCCATGCTGTGCGGGTTGTGCGGGCTGTGGCTGTGACCGGGCTCGTGGTGCCAGGTTTGAGGAAGTGAAAGCCAACAGCTCGTGCGCGAGGGGCACGGCTGCCACGCCGGCAGCCACGGCAGCTGCCCGTTTCCTGGCAGCGTCTTTGGTCATCTCTAAGGCCGCAGCTATGTGGGCCTATGCTCAGGCTGTAGCGGCAAAGCGCTGCGTCAGGCAAAGCATCAACAAACACTCCGACGACGGACTTTTCAAGCTGAGGCTATTCGACGGACATGTGCTGCTGGCAAGTCTCAATTGAAACGCAAGACGCTGACGCAGGTCAACAGTGGGCATCCTCCCTCTGCCACAACATGCAGCTGCACCCCCTTGCCTGCCCCTTATTCAGACTCAGGGCAGCACCACGTGAATACCTGCCGGCGAGAACCTTGGAGCAAGGGCAACGACGACAACGATGAGGACGACAACAGCGTCGGCGGCGGGAAAAGCAACAGCAGCGGCAGCCGATCGCGTACGAATGCTGCAAAACGATCACCATCATAAGCATTTCATTCTTCTGCATCACCTTGCCTTGCCGTCGGCATCATCCCGTTCTTCGTCGTCAGTAGCATCATCATTATCACCCTCACATCGCCATCGCCACCGCCATCAGCATCGCCATTTCCAGCGTCAACAACAACAACCACTACTACGACCACAGCCACAAACACGACCACAAGTACATCTACAACCAAAACCAGAATCACAACCACATCCACGATGCCGAATAATTTTGATTAGAACTAGTAACTAGAAGTAGAAGAGGAAGCGAAAGAAAAAACGACTTCCCAGCATCAACAGCAACGACGACGACGACAACCACCACCACCGCCACCACCACAACAATTTTTATTGGACGCTGAGCGAGCGGGCTCTGCTCATTGCGGGCGTGTGAGACTGCCTTTGCACCTGAACAAAGGTCTGAGAGCAGAAATGCTAAGGGCCTGGGCCTGAAAGCGCTGAAACAGGCTACCGTGAAGAGAGCTACCCTACAAGCTACCTCAAAAGCCGGTTCATGCGTCTCAGGCGTGGGTGAGAAACCCTCCGTCACCCTCAGTGTGGACTATGGCGTCCCATGTCCACGGACCGATGATTGATGAGCCGTACCCCCTCGGGACCGTCACTCAGAGTGCCTGTTGCGTGGCGTCCCACTCATGGTCACTCTCAATCAAAGGCGATGGGCCGTAAGGTCGCAAAGGTGATGAGCATGTGGAACGGCTGCTAGTGCTGTTATCTGAGGCCGCTCCGCTTTTGTGGGCAAGCAGATTGCATCGGTGAACGATGTGGCACACCCTGGCGGTAAGCACACTGTGCCTAATAAGGCTAACCTTATTCGTAAGAGGCGTACTCCCCTCCAGAGGCCAGGCTTGCCGGCAATGGCTTGGGGGCCTCGGACAACCCCCCATTCTCGAGCCGAGAATGGGGGGTTGCAAAACCTTGATTTTTAGGCCTCGGACAAACCCCCCTTCTCGAGCCGAGAATGGGGGTTTGTAAAGCCGATTTCAGCCATTGGTCAGCTGTGTTGCTGACAGGCGTTGCCTTTCTGGGAAAGCAGCGAGCGTTGCCCGACTAGCATGACAGGTATAGGCCGCTATTGCACACAAACGCTGAGTAGTGGAGCTACGTCAGCTGTACGACTTGAGCAGCAAAACTGAACAACAGCGTTCCTGCTCCCTGCCGTGTAGGCAGGTCGGTCCCACAGAGCCAGTAGGTCGCCCCCTTCCTGCAAGGGGAAGTAGGGGCCCCTGGCCTCAGGGGAACCCTCAGCTTAATCATCTGAAACTTGGACTGGCATAGGGCCAGCCTCCGCTGTGTGCGGTATTGAACCAAGTCGCACGAACAGCACATAGCAGCCGTGGCGTGCCTGCCTGAGATCTGAATCTGAGGCCTGAACCGACGGACGACCATCGTCCGTGCTGAGCCAAGGTTGATCGGGGTTGCTCCTCCAGAGGGAGCGATAATGTCCACTGTGCGGGGTGTCACCTATGTGGAAGATACAGGACTGAACCCATCCTTTCTCTAGTTGTACGGAGCCCGTCGGGGCCCACTGCGAGAGCTGAAGGGGGTGGTGCAGACCAGTGACAGCATAGCTGAGCTTGCGGCCTTCAACAAATCGCGCCACTGTGAGAACCACCAGTCGTTGCTGCCCTCGAAAGGCGGTGTGCACCGGCTGGCCAGACCACCGAGAGAGCAGCTCCTGAAGTGCATGGGATCCACCTGTCGTTGGAGCTGGCAGCAAAGCGAGCGGACCTCCCGCATCGGTGACCTCAGTAGTGTTTACATCCCTGACTTCCCAGGGTCGTGCAATCGGAAAGGCGGCAATGCCTGCAAATAAGGCCACTAGAAACTCCGAAGCATCTTGTTGTTGGCCATCATAGCGCCAAGCGGGAGTAAGATGGCGAAGCGTGAAAGAGGCAGTCAGGGTGAAAGGAGAACCAGAGACAGAATCAGCCACTTCCTGATGGAGGGAGGTGCTTGCCCCTCCGTGCTCCAGCAAGATGCACGTCGGCACCAGGGCCGAAAGCGTTGAGTTAACATAGCAGTAGTTGGAGATGTTGCGCAGCGAGCGAGGAGCAGCGAGCGCGCCGTCCTTTGATTCTACTGTCCCTGACTTCGGTGGCAGGGGGCCTGCAGGCGTTGCCTGGCGAGTCTGGGGCGTTGCTCCAACAGCGGTGGTATCGTCCCGTGTGGGTGCGTTGCCTTGTGTCGTGCCAACCGCTGGCATGTACCTGCGTAACGGTCCGCCCTGGCAGCGGGAAAGTGCATGAACCAAGTCATAAAACAGAATCTGAAAAAGGATCGGACATTGTGCCGGATGCTGCCTCTTATCCGTAACAGGCTTGCGGCAGCACGGGCAAGGCATGCCCTTGACAAGGGTCAGGCCTGATTTGCTGCTCTGAGTTGCAGCTGTAGCGCCATGAGCCGCCCATTCAGGTTTGTGGGCCTGCCGGATGTGAGACTTGAGCTTGGTATTGTCCGGGGTCCAGAACCCACACAGCAAGCAATGTGACATAAGGTCCTGAGACTCATCAGATCGTCCGAGCTCCACAGCCGTGTGTGTTGTCAGAGTGTCATGCAAGCGCTGCTGCCTGGGATGCAATCTGGGCTGATGCTGCGAATCCAAGGGAGGGTGCGCCGCGTCATCCAGCTCCTGTAGCCTAGCTGGCTCCGAGCAGGCACCTGATAGCAAGTGGTCCTTTAAGCCCTTCATCTGAGGGAATTGCCTGTTGCAGGCCGCACACTTGGGGAGCCCTCCTACAGAGAGGGTGTGGGAGAAGCCTCGAGGGACATATCTGATGACCGAGCCTGGATGCTTGCGGGCCTGGTGGGTGCGAAGACCGACCTCAGTGTCGAAGGCCTGAGCACACGTTGGGCACACGAAGGACGGGGGGGCCTCCTGCTGTGATGTGTCCTTAGAAAGTTGCTGCAGAACGTCTGCATAACTAGTAGAGAGTGCCTCCGCCTGGAGAAGCGCGCGCTGGGTTAAAGAGATGTCCCCCGCAGGAGTTTTCCGCCGTCGAGCACCTAAGCGCTTGACACGATTGGCCTGTCGCGCCTGCAGCTTACGGACAGGGTCCATGATCTCATGGGAGGCGTAGAGGTCAGCCGTGGATATGTGTGTCAGGTGCGCTGGCTTGTTCAGGACAGCTCGAATTTTGCGAGCGTGCCAAGCCCGCAACAGTTTAGCTGTCTCTAGGGTCAAGCCCACATCCACCAATCCAGAGGCTACTGTGGCCCAGACAGTGCTATGCCAAATGTGCAACCGCGATGCAGGCCCCGCCGTTCGTCTGTTGTGAACGAAGCGGCGTACCTGCTGCAATTTCACATTGCCCTCCTGCAACCGGAACTTGAGAGTAGCCTTCTCGAAGTTGGAGTAGGAGAGCATGACGCCGAGATACTTAAAGGACGTCACCAGCGGAAAGCCCTCGTGAGACTTGGACTCTCCCAGTCTCCACATCTTATGGCGGGTTCCGTCAGGCGCGGTGCGCCAATAAGTGTGCTTGGAGATGGCGCGTTGCGCCTGTTGGCCCTCGAGTTTGACCATAACAGTGCATTTTGCACCGTTGACAGCAAATCCATGGCGACGGACCAACTGCAACAATTGCTCAATCAGAGCATGAGCGCGATCCAGGTCCTCCATTGAGTGGATGTCACGGTGAACCGTAAGGTCATCTGCGTAGCCCGTGAGGTAGTCCACCACGGCTCGAACCCCAACAAGAGCTATGAGCTCCCGGAAGATGGTGCCCGTAAGCATGGAAAAAAGTGTGGGGGCAAGCTTACACCCCTGTTTAATGCCCGCAGTGGACTGGACCGTGTCCTCTTCACCCTGGGTGCGAAACGTGTAAGCACTGCCAGCATGCAATGAGGCAACTAGGTCAATGAGGTCTTGCGGGACTCCCGCTTCCTGCAGTGTGCTAAGCAAGTCTGTTCTGCTCACCATGTCAAAGGCTTGTGACAAGTCTAGTGCAAAGCAGATGCCACCTACTAGCTGGGGACGAGTTCGTCCCGAGTGAAGCTGATGCCTGGTTCGTCGGGCCTCCTGGCAGTTATTGCGTACCTGAGTGACATGACCAACGACCCTGCTCAAGGCATCTGAAAGACCGCGATGTGGCTGGTAGGCAAATTGTGGGAGACCCCGAAGATAGTCAGCCGTGTAGGGAGACAGCTGATCTCTACAAGCCCCCGCCAGGCCCTTGCCGTCTGGTCGAATGATGCCGAGGGGACGTAGATTGCCAGGCTTCGTGGCCGGCTTGTTAGGCTTTGGGATAAAACACAAGTCAGCATCCTTTAAGGGCGGCTGAAGTACCTCAGCAGCCGGCAATGGGCGTTGCCCCCGAGATTGCAGCGATGCTGCTAACGCCTCTCCCGCAGCCGCCGAGCAGAGCCGCCAGGCAGCCGCCGGAGCAGAGCCTTGCGGTACCGCCTTGTGCGGTCTGATGGAGCCTATGTGCTTGGCCAGCAGACCAGCCGGGATTTCCGGCAGCGAGTCCACCTGGTGTGCGAGTGGCGGATGTCTGGCAAAGACCTGTTCCACGTGGTCTCTAAGCAGGCGGAGCTCAGAGGTAGAGTCCAACAGCAGACCATCCGGTCCCTGAAGCTGTGCCTTAGTTTGGGGTTCCCAAGGTCGGAGCTTCTTTAAGGTCTTATGTGCGATGTAGGAATCGTGTCTGGCACACGCCTCATCGACCTCAGCCTGGAAAGCTCGGTGTCGTTCCTTCTTGGCTAAGTAGAGAGCCTGCTTATGCCATCGATTCAGGTCCTCCAAAGACTGATCTAGGTCGGATAAGGTGGTTATGGAGTCCTCATGCAAAGAACGAATATGAGCGACTCGACTCCACATTCGCAGCGTCGCACGGTGCTGAGCAGTTTCAGGAGCTTGCTGAGGCCGTGGTTTGGGGAAAAACAGTGCAGAGGCCTCCAGCAGTACCTGATTAACTTCATCAGGCGTGTGAGTCCGAGAGGACAGACGCTGGCCCACCCAGTCTTGCATGCGACCGGCTATTGGCAGACCTGAACGGACAGCCGTCTCTAGAGCTTCCTTATGAAAGGTCGTGGAAGGACAAGTAGGCTTTGGCAGATTCCAGTGCTGGGTGGGTCTGAGTTGAGCCAAGACTGGAAGGTGGCCGCCCCTCTTCCATTTGCCGAGCTGAAGATCCTTGCACGGCCGAGACTGCTTTGCCAGGCCCTTGGCCGAGGCTTCTGAAGTGAGCAGGAAGTCAATTTGTGATCCCTGACCATTCAGGAAGAAAGTGTGACCTGCACCACTAGACCATGTGTTAAGAGCTACCAACCGATGGGAGGAGACTAAGGCTTGGAACGATTCATCCTGCATCTGAGTTTGCTCTGGCTTGGTGCTACACTGACCTACCAGACCCTCCTGCGGGGTCAGTCGAGCATTAAAGTCTCCTGCCAAGAGAAAAGTATCTCGCGCTGGAATGGCCCGTATCGCAGCCGACAGATCGCGGAGCAGGTGTGAGCGGTCATCCTTGTTCTGCTGTGGAGTCTTCTTAGAAGACCAGGCATGTTGGTAAACCGCTAGTACATGCACACGAGCCCCAAGCCACGGGAAGATGACCTGAATGAGCCTTCCCCGGCGTTGCTCGCGCCATCTTATCTTCTGCTTGTCTATCTGCGGAGAGAGAAGAACCATGACGCCGTCCGCTCGGCTTGTGTCGTGAACAGCCGGCTGCGTGGCAGCGCCTTGCTTGGGGCGTTGCCCTGAAGTGGCTTTACCTTTAGGTGCTCGAGCAGCCCCTTTTGTGGCGGAGCTTACGCAGTGCCAGCCTTCGACATCAAATTCTGCTGTCTCACTCCAGTGGGTTTCCTGAAGGACAAGAATGTCACAGACTGACTTGGCCTCCGTGCGAAGCCATGTCTTCACTTCTGCCCATTGTTGCATGCCAAGGTGCCCTGCATTCCAGGAAAGAACACGAAGAGACTTGCTGGCACGACCGCCTCTCGGGCGCGAGCGGAAACTGGCGGAGAAACCTGAGGGACCTGAAGGAGAAATCGTGGAGCTAGGCTGCACTGGGAGGGGGGGAGGGGAGGGGGGGGTGAGTCCACTGCGACGCAGATGTTCAGGCGTCAACGTACCATTCCGGTACGGGATGCTTTCTTGTGTTCTATGAACCTTATTGCAAGCCTTTCGAAAGGCCTTCTTGCGAATGCTCTCAAAGGAATGCTGGTGCATTGGCGTTGGCGCCGTCCGCTAGTTTCGCCGGAAAGAGAGAACTCGATCCGACTCCCTTCACCTCGCGGATAGGTGAAAACCACTACCGCTTACCTCTTGCCAATGTTGTATAACTGCAGACAGAGGCCCGGGAATTGGGACCCGGTAGATCACAGCGACACGTGGCTCCAGGGATGGCTATGGCTCAGAAAGAGGACAGTCCCTTAAGCTTCGCAGAAGGGGGCCGTTGCGAGCCTCTAGCGTTGGTACCCGGAGCCCTGTTAGCAGTGCTATACAGCCTGCTGTGATCCATAGCGGCTACCACCACAACAACAACAGCAGCAGCAACAACAGCAACAGCAACAGCGACAGCAACAGCAACAGCAACAGCAACAGCAGCAGCAGCAGCAGCAGCAACTGCAACTGCAACTGCAACTGCAACTGCAACAGCAGCAGCAGCAACAACAACAACAACAACATCAACATGTTGATCATCATAACCGTCATAACCTTTGTAATCACCATCCTGGAAATTAATGGCGGTTACTGCGATCAAATCCAGCCAGAACTGCCACAAACAACACATGTCCTCGTCGGCGCATCAACCACTGACTGAGGCAATGCACGCCAAGTCGAGAGTGCCAAATGCAGCTCGAACTGGCATCCTACAATGAATTAAATGCAGGAAGCCGAGTGGCCTGGAAGACAAAACAGCAAAGGCTCGCGGCCAAAGGTTCCGAGCACATGCCGCCCTAACAAAAATCTGCCTGGCCCATGCGATCTACTTGCCATGATACATACCACATGATCTTTCAACATCTTTTCCTATCGCAGCACGTTCACCCACTTGAGCACAGGCCTAGCAACATGAGGCTGGCACACAGATTCATGTGACTCACCTCGTCTTGGTATTGGTAGTGTCATGAGGTGGCAATGCACCAGAGCCTTGGACATTCATAGTTTCTACGAGTGGTGTTCACACACACGCCTCTTGTTGTTGCTGCACTTGTCGGGGGAACCGGTCACTGATCAAAGCGGCATGTCTCCGCGGCCCTTCATAGGGAAGCCTGCGAGACTTTCGAAGCACTGAACGCGGCAACTTGAATCAGTTAGACATAGACTGGACATAGAAATCGCCGCACAGCTGCCAAAATCCTGCCTTCCGTGCGCATAATGCCAGTTGTCCACGACAACAACCTCATGGACATCTGCTGAAAAAATCGGTTCATGCCAACATACTGGAGACGCGCGATTTCTGGAAGATACCGACCATCCTGACCACACTACATCAGACCCGGCCACACTGGTGCCCCTATATCTGCTGGCTGAGTCACATCTCCTTCCTCAAGCTTCACCGAAACCCAGAGAGACCGCGCGACCGCAGCCCGAAAGGCGGCGAGCTCCCACTCCTCGAACTCGCTGCCATCCCCCCACGTCGAGTGCAACGCCGGAATTCCAGTTCCGTAGTTCACAGATTTGTGGCTATCGAGGATGGACTGAAGAACGGCTTTTGTTGGCTTCGGCTTTTCGTCAGAGCTTGATGTCAAGTTTATCCACGTCACTGCTGGCACCGTCCAGTTCAGGACAACTGTGCCCTGCAACCCGGGGCCCAATTGTGCCCCTGGTTTCCCCCCCATCATCTCGTCAGAACTTGCAAGGCGCTTCGCCTCTGGCCAGCTTGTTGTCCCGAACCTGTCCTGCCACATTCCAGTAGCGTAGCTCCAGTTTGCTGATTGGACCTGGTCCCCCATCACCCGGAAATATGTCAATCCAAGCTTCGCCAGCTTGTCGGTCAGGTTTCCAAGCTCTGTGCCGAGCCGCACATTGTCAAACAGCTGTAGCTCGCCACCTATGTCCGCAGGCCTCATGCAAACAAAGCCGCAAAAACGGGGAACCTGGTACAGGTACGCCTGCTCACTGTGTGGTGACACTGGCAAATGTGCAGGTGCACCAGCTGCCACATCGTAGATCCCTTCACTCAGCATTGCCCTTTGGACGGTACCGACTTTGTTGTAGTTTCCAAGTTTCAGGCCAGGGTGGCCAGCTGCCTGCCAAGCTGACATCGCCAGATTCTCAAACTCCTTGGAGGTTGGAATCTGACCATCGGCTTTGATCAGCACTGCTCCGATGGATGCGAGCATCGATCCTGCAGCCTCCGGCCCCTGGCTGCGACGCACCTCTGGAATGGCGGAAGCTGCTTCAATCTGGCACACCGTCAGCGACAGCCAGCTCCATGCGGCCACGCATGACCGGCGACCAAAGCTCTCCATCGCAAAGAAGGAACAGAAATCCCAGTAGGGGGAGGTTACTGTCAAAATCGAGACAAGGAATCCAGAATGCATTGACGGCCATCCAGATGCTTTTGTCTTGTCCCTCGTGACATCGAGGCTTCTGGGCTATTCTCCGCACAGGCTCCCTGAGGCTCTGAGGCGTGAACTTCACAGAGGCCGGACTGCAGCCATCGTAGCCCTTGTCCCGGCCCGGCCTGTCCAACCCAACGCGGACAGACTTGCACGGAGGACCTTTCGGCATATTGTTGCTACGATTCGTGCTGTCATGTTGACATGTGTACGACCCTGGCTATTCCTACCACCCTTTACCGTTATTTTCCTCTCACACCGCCGAAGCTGCGAGGCTTACAGAGTCTGACTTAATTACCTACCGGTAGGAACACGAAGCACGTGTACACATCGCTCCTGAAGCACTAAATCTAAAGCTACCTACTTCAATCCATCTTTTTCTCATAATGAGAACACCACTATACACATACCAACAGGTCGAGGCGCATCGCCGCTACGATTGACACTTTCAGCAGACTGCATAGCAACATTGACACTCATAACACTACACTGCTGCAGCTGTGAATGCCGCAGAAACTCAGTGCCACTACTTTGTTAGTGATGGCGATTGAATAGCAGTCTGCATACGAAGGTCACTGCCGTTTTCCCATCATTCCTACAAGCAGGATTTTCTACTTTTGCTGCAAAACTATATTCACTGCCGTTGTGACTGATACCACTGCTCTTGTGGTTGCAACACTTTATCACCATTGCACTACTCCTGCTGGTGCTGCAGCCGAGTCTTAATGTTCCTGCTATCAAGTAGTAGGTAGTAGTAGCAGTAGCAGTAGCAGTAGTAGTAGTAGTAGTAGTAGTAGTAGTAGTAGTGGTAGCAGCAGCACCAATAATAACAATGATACTAAGAATCATACAAATAGTTATAGCAGCAAAAGCAGCAGTAGTAGTAGTAGTAGTAGCAGTAGTAGTAGCGGGCGTGGTAGTAGCAGTGGTAGTAGCAGTGGTAGTAGTCGTCGTCGTCGTGGTGGTGCTGGTGGTTGTGGCTTTTGTGGTCGTAGTGGTAGTGGTGGTGGTAGTGGTAGTGGCAGTGGCAGTGGTAGTGGTTGTGGTGGTAATAGTAGTACTACCACTACTACCACTACAAACTACTACTACCACTAATACCACTACCACGACTACCGCTACGACGACGACCACTACCACCGCCACTACCACTATTACTGCTGCTACTGCTACTGCTACTACTACTACTACTCCTACTACTGCTACTACTACTACTACTCGTTCTACTTCTACTACTACTACAACTACTACTACTACTACTACCACCACTACTACTACTATCACTACTACCACTACCACTAGCACTGCCACCGCTGCTGCCACTACTGCAGCTTGTACTACTGCAGCTGTACTATATGCTGTACTGGTAAATACTGGAGGCTGCTTTTGTGCGTTCTGCTTGCTCCAGCGCCGTCTTTGGGATGTTCTTCTCCAAGACATCTGCGTCCCAAACAGAACACGACACGAGGCGTGACCGGCTTAAAACAAATGGGCACAAGCTGCTTGAAAAGCCTCTGCCCATAGCTAATTACCAAAATTCCTAGGTGGATGACCCTGCTCAAGGATGAGTTGCCCCTTGAGCAAAGCGCTGGTAATTTAAGACGAAGACTACTAGGACGTTGCCTTTGGCATCGCACTGCTTGCAGCAGGCTAGGTCAGCAGAGCGCAAATCTCCAAACATCATCTGAGTCCCCAATAGTCTCCAAGCTCAGTTCTGTTGCATTCCACTGGCCCCGACAAACATAGAATCACAAAAGCCCAGAGCTCCGGGAGCTCCGGGCTGTTCGTACTTTCACACCTGCGCATGTTCAACTACGGAATTACATTTCGCCATCTGCCCCTGCAAAGCTGCCATCAGATAGTCGGGCGAGGACATCTCACGAGCAAGGTCTGCGGCGGTTTTGTTCCGAGAGTTTCGCAAGTCCAACCTTGCTCCTCTCACCAAGAGGGCTGCTGCTGCTTCGTAGTTTCCGCAGATGATGGCTATCATGAGCGGTGTGGCTCCATAGTGATGGTAGCCAACAATGCGAAGCTGGGTTGTTTTTCCACCGGGGTTATGTTGAAGCCCCTTTATCCGCCAAAGCATGCCGAAAGGGCTGAACATGTTTGGTCGATACCGTTCGTTTACGTCCGCCCGGGCGTTGATTAGCATGTCGATGGCCTTCGCAGATCCGCCCTGTCCCATGGCAACCCAATGCAGCGACAGAGACATGTCCAACTTGTCCGTATGCTCAAACAAGGCTGCCATTGCGTGAAGGGACCCTGTCACACAGGCCTGCCGCAAAGCAGAAACCCCAAAGGTATTCGTTTCGTTGGGATCACCGCCTGAATCACAGAGGCGGTGCACTGCTTCTGCGTCATCCACATAACAGGCACAGCTCAACGCAGTTTGGAGAATGCCCCGAACACTGATCCTTGCACCAGCAGCAATCAACAGGTTCATGCACTCATGGTTTTTGAATTTGGTGCACAACCCTAGAACTGGAGTCCCCTTGTCGATGCCAAGCTGGGGCTGTGCCCTGGTGATTTTGTCGTTGGGATTTGCACGACAGCTCAGCAATGCTTGCACCAAGTCCGGATCACCTCTCACCGATGCATAGCACAGGGTAGACCAACCGGCTTTGTCACGTTCAAGCGGATGTTTGAATCCGTTCTGATACAGAAACTTGGCCAAAGCCGTTTCAGCTTTTCCTGCATGAGATGGCGGCTCAAACCCAGGCACCAAATCATCGTTGCTCTCTGCCGGAAGACCACGTAGACGAGCATTTTGTTGGTTCAGTAGTATTCGGTAGTTGACAAAGTCACCCTCCACCAAATGCATGAGGAGCTTGCTCTTCAAAACGCTCTTCAAGACAGGAGCGACAGCAGCACGGTCCTGCTCCACACTGAATTGACCGTCGCCTGGTGAGTCCACTGTCAAAGGCGTTGTAATCTCCTGGTGTTTGGCACTCTTGACCAATATCCAAGACCCGCCATGTCGTGAAAGGACCCGGACTGCTTCTTCCACGCGACACCATCCTCCGAACCGATTATAAGCGAACATAAGCAGCAACCCAAATCAAACAAAGACACACATCTTGGTAGGAGAATTCCAGGCATGTATCAGATGTATACAAGGCAGGGGTTGGGGGGGACAAGCGCAATGATCGGATGATTTTTTCTCGTTCGGATCCACACCACTTCGTTGCACAAGCAAAACCACAGTGCGCTTTCGAGCCGAGCTTCGAACATCATTGGAGTGTACGGATGCAAGCATGCATATGGCAGGGTGGGAGGGGATGCTTGATATGCAAATCTTGGCGCGACCGACGTCTGTCGCTCGAGAGTTCCCAGTTCAAGGACATCTGCGAAAATCGAAACACAGGCTTCAAAGCTCCCTGATTGGAGGGTCTGCTGGAACAGGTCGCACATGTCAGGAGCGCCTGCCCAAACGTCACTTGCAGCTTGGCTTTGCAATTGATTCGCATTTCTAGGTATTCGTGTGCTCAGCCTTTCGGTCTCATCCACACCCTTGGAGCCTTCGGGCTGTTGACAATGGGGATTCCTTGCCTCGGTCTCTGACTCTCGTCCCGGTTATCCGATCCACGCCGTTGATTGCTTCTGATTCTGCCCTTTCATCTCTGACGCTGTTTTGTGGAGCACGTGTATTCAACAGTGTGTACGTAATGCCCTTGGATTCTTCTCGCTTTTTATTTCTCTCTTGTGTCGATGTCTCGTCATCTCTCACACTGTCTCCTTCTTCCTTTCTGCCGGCCTAGGGGTTGGCTGGCAACCCGCAGGCCAGTGACCTTTCTTCATGATTCACGAAGGCATACAAGGCATAACCCTTCGGCCAAGCGCCCCCCCCCTCCCCCGCGCACTGACATGAACATGGTTGATGTTCCTCTCTCGCTCTTTCTATCGCTCTCTTCTTTTTCATCGTGTTCGCTTCTTCAGCTTCCTGTTCCGTGTCCCGCTCACTCTGTCCCGCCCACCGTCCGCTCCCTTCATTGATCCTTCCTTTTGCATTGTTCAAACCAGCAAACCAATATCCCGATCCTCTGCCAGCCCACGTGAACTGGCTGAACACTTGGGACTCATCTGGGCTCTCAACGACCGGGCAAAGCGCCATGAAGAACTTGCACTTGGAGATGTAAGCCGGAATGCTGCTGATTGCTCGCTGCTGATTGCTCTCGATGGCATTTCCAGCTTTTTGTCCGGAGCAATGGAGGGTGAGGACTGGATCCTGTGGACAGCAGAAATAGTCGTACCACAAGAAGAGTTTGCCCGGCTGCAATTCAGAGGCCGACAGCGCCTTGGTAAGCCCAAATATTGCCTCCGTGATCATGTCCGTCGAAACTTGGCTGACACCCGACATGATGTTCTGCAATGCCTCTTGCAATACCCGGAACTGCTTGAACTCTGGGTCTGGATGTGACTTGGTGACCCATTGATGTGACACGAACAGTGCTTGCCCCATGCCCTCCTTGAAGATCGTCAACGCACCTTCCTCCACAAGTTGTTCGTGTGGCCTGACACTGGTCATCTGCAGCACAACATCGAGAAGCACTGTGTACATCGGGAACAAGATGGGGAACTCCTGTGGTGTGTCCACATCCCCCCTCGTCAAGGATGCAGCAAAGCGCTCCAGAGGTGTGCTGCAGCGATTCTTGAAACACCGCATGGCAACAGCTAGGGCAGCTATATAGGGTTCAAGCCCTCCACAACTCCTGATGCGCAGAAAAGATTGCAACATCACGCTATTGCTGGCTGCCCGGAAATGGGCATGCACGTATCGGCAACTCGGGGGGTGTTTTCTCATCGACCGCACCTGGAAGACGAAGGTGATGAAGAGCCGACATCTACCTGCTCGACAATCCATCGTCCAACGTGGAACAACAGCTGATAATCCCTACGGTTGCTAATTCGATGGTCTCTGCTTCCGACATCATGCCCCCGAAATTCCGAAAGCCGGAAAATGCAAATAAAAATATGTATCTATGCTGAGTAGGGTCCTTCGGCTGCTGATCACCGTCTTCCATGCGCGGCTCTTGCATCTCTGCGCCCGCACTTGCACAAATACAGTGTTATACTATAGCAAAAGGTCATCAACGCGGCTGGCGCGAGTTGGTTCGCGAATTGTACCTATGTTTGACACAATATGCACAGCTACGCAGAATCTGTGTCGTGACTTGAGCCTCATGCAGTCGGGCCCTTGCAAGAACCGGCACCGCGTCTTCACATTTTCATAGGCCTGGCACTGGTTGGCAGCTTCGTCGCCGCACACATGTATGGTGTCACTGCCCCGCAGGATGTAAAGAATCGAGGGTTGCGCGGTTTGCCCAGTCGTCTGCTTGGCCTGGGCCACTTCGGCTCAAACCAGTTTGGTTCGAGCTTCGCCTCCTTGAACGCGCACTCTTGTGTTTTTCGTGCGTGCACCCTTCCATCACAAATTGAAGCGGTCCCGATGTGCGAGCTGCAAGCTACTGTTCGTCATTATGGAGGCAACACTCCAACCGCCGCGGGGGCAAGAACTGGAACCGCTGCACCGTAGCGCTTTTGATTAAGCTCAACACCTGAACTCTGCCCACCCGCCGGCTGTGTCGGCCGCTTGGACCCTAGACCTTGACCTGCCTCGGCGCGAGGCCGGGCGTGACCGGTGCACCTGCACGGTTTGATCGGTTTGCCGCAGCTTGTGCCGAAGCCCCAACTTGTTTTGCACTGGCTGGGCTTCGCACCATCTCAGCCTTGTGGTGCCAGCGCACATGTGGTCTTGTTAGCCACATACAGCCCACCAAAACGATCATGCCGAGTCAACTCCTTAGGACAGCACGGGCTCCCTGAACGGAAAAACACCTTCGCCTAGCTGCCGCGGGCAGCGAAGCAGCAACGGCATGCAGAACAGCGTGTTGGGCGACTGCGTAAAGCGCCCGAGCGCAACCCTTCCAGGATGACTTGTCGAGAAACATGGTCGGAAGCCCCTACCGCGTCGGCCTTGGCAGCTGCCTGCACGGCCGCAGCCCGAGTGCATGAGGCTCGCTTTCCCGAACCCCGACTGGGGGGTCGGAGCTGCGCGGCGTGCCGCTTCGTGCTCCGGCTGGGGGACAGCTGCTTGGGGCGCCGGCACGTCAGCACGGGCAATTCGAAGTGCCCGCGAGGTCGCTGGGGTCATTTAACAGTATACGCAGTAGACGCAAGTGCTCGTTCGTTATGGCTGAGGGGCCCGAAGCGGAACCTTGCCGAGCCGGGGACAGGCCAGAAGGAATGTGTCCGGGGTGCGACATAACATAACTGGGACATGCTTGAGCATCTCCGAGCTTGGCGGACGACGAGTGTCTGGGGGCGGCCATCGTGGTCCGGAGTTCGGCGAGCGTGCGAAAATCCTTGGGGCTAGCTTTTGGTCTTGTGTTCACCGATCGGCGTGAGGCCTTCGACACGCAGTGGCGGACACCGATCCTCGCGAACTTGCACCTGTTGATCTCCTGCCCTTCTTCTTGGCTCATCGCAGACGAGCTCCTTCAATCAACGCGCATGAGCATTGTGAAAGGTGGTTCTCGCTCAGCCTGCTTCAGCATTGGTGTTGGTACAATCGAGGGGCGGAAGCTGTCTCCGCTCCAACTTTGCTTAGCGCAAGCAAACCTTGGCAACCTTGCTGAGGCCCGCATGACAGGCATTGGTTTTAATCCCCCAATGGAGGCGGTCTCAGCCTTCCACGCGTTCGCGGATGGCTCTGCGGACGGCAGCTATGACACTGACTCAGCGGCCATGCTGTACTCCATGGTATGTGATGCTACCATGTCGTGGTCGCAAGCCATGAACTCAGCTCCCAATGATTCTGTGAGACTGCTATTGCTTGATATGGCTTCCTATGCTTCCTCTGTTCGTCGTGGGTTACGCAGCTTCGTCGATGATACTCGGGTTCCTGTGGCGTCGCTTGGCCATGCGGCTGCTGCGATGCATGTCCTGAATGAAGCGGCATCCACCGACCAGTACGTCTACAAGGAAGGAAAGAACTGTATCTTGGCACATGCCTTTCCAAAAATGAAGCCGCTTATGCTTCAAGGCTCCCCTGTCGAGTTTGTGGATTCTCACATTCAACTCGGAGTATCCTTGGGTACCCAGTTCGATGGAAGAGCACACCTCCAGTGCATCCTTGCTCGTGGCGCTATGAAAATGCACATCCTGCTGGCGGAACTTTCTTCGGCGGGGTTTCCGATGCATGCGCTTCTCCTAGCCGTGCGTACAAGGATGCTACCGTCAGTAGCTCATGCAATTGAGCTTACAGTCCAGGTTCCGTTCTTCGAAAAGCAGATTAATGCAATGCAGGCCTCTTGGTTCCGAAAGATTCTTGGATGCAAATCAGCTCCCCGCGTGGTTCTGATGCATGAGTTGGGTACCCCAGATCGCTTGTCAGCGGTGGCATGCAGTCGGGCCATTATGGTGCGGCGGCGTGCCCGCATTGATGCCCGGTACAAGGCTGAGAATGAGATTCTGGCTCTAGCTGAGTCCGAGCCGTCCTCTTGGCCGGCTGCTGTGATGGGCAAAGAGCAGGAGCTGGGATTGCCCATGTTGGATTTTGATGGCTCCAATGCCTCTGAAAAACAGACCAAGGCTAAGCCATGCCATCATGCATCCACAGTGGTTATTCCGGCCATGCGTGCGCATGAACAGACAACTTGGCACTCTTGTGCAAGGAATCTTGAACATTGGCAGAGCTACAGTGGGTCTCACCGGACAGTCCACCAGCTTGCAGTGTTCGGGATCGGCAGTAGAGATGCTCAAGCCTGGTCCCAACTGAAGCTCCAAGGATACTTCTCTCACGCAGCCTCTGGCCCTGCTACGCCTTGCCGTTTTTGTGCCAAGGACTCCGTGGAGGCCCTTGAGCATTTTTTCTTTGAGTGCGATGTGGCAAGGCAGTTCATGCAACATGTTCCGGCGTGGGCGGACCATGCCACTCGGTGTGCTGTTGGAGTCAACTTGAGTGACCCCCGGGATGTCATTCTATGGCTTGCAGCAGCGGGTAATCTTCTGAAGCACCTGAACAAGCGCCGGGGTTCTTAAGAAAATAAGAGAGCGTTCAGCTGGTTGATGCCTGCTCTCCTGTCCGCATGAGTAGTGCATAACCATCTCGCATGACGTATATGCGCCGCCTGGACCTGCAACAGCGTCTGATGCTTCGCTTAATTGGCAAAGTGCTTCTGGGAAGTCTTAGTTTCTCGGTGCAATAATCGAAGCCGCTAACACTCTGTGAGCATGTAACCCGTGATCCACGTTCTTTTATTTGAACTCCGCCCTCGTCAATCCCAAATGGGGTTGCGTGGGTGGTGGAATTGTTCACGTCTACCCCACATGATGCGCGCCGCATGGAAGTGCAGCTACGTCTGCTGCTTCGTTGACGCAAGATGCTCCCTGGTGTTCCAGTTTTTTGTCGGTGTAATAACTGAATCCGCTGATACTGTGCTTCTGAGCCTTGATTCTCCCCACTTAAAGCCCCATCCTGGTGCGGCTGACGACAAAGACAAACGGCTGGGGCTGCCTTGCAGCTGCTCTCCGGCTTCCGATGTATATATATATATATATATATATATATATATTTATATTTATATATATATATATATATATATATATATTTTTTCCCTTAAGGTTGTTGGCAACTCCCTCAAATGAAACATGCAACAATTGCTGCAACAAGCGATCCGCCTTCTCTCTTGTGAGCTATCGCCGTCACCAATCCGGTCTTGGGGTTGCGTGAGTGGTGTGCTGTTCGGGTGGGATGCCTGGCTGCCGGGGATCGCGTTGGACTGGCAAGGGCCATCTGCTCAGCCAGTTCCTGATGTGCAGATGGCAAATCCTCGCCCGTCCAGTGAGTTTGCCTGCTGAGTCCGGTTGCGGTAGGCTAGGCCTTCGACCCAGCACATTGGCCGACCACGGGGAACAAAAAAAATATGGCGGATTCTGATAACAGCGGTACGAGGAACCTGGATGTTTTTTGGCCAAACTGGGTTACCAGCAGAAACGACAGGGCAACACACCCAACCACCGAATCAGCAAACATCACCAAACATCCATGTTCAAACGGTGTCCAAGGCAACTTTACAGCACTGCTGCATCCAATCCTCGAAGGCATGCCAGCAAGCAGCTTCATGTCTATCCGATTACTCACTACCGAGGGCAAGAGTGAGCCCATGCTAGCCACTGCTGCAACCGACAACCCGAGGCTTAGTCACGGACCAACCCTGCTCAAGGCTCAAACAAAAACCCGCGCATCCCTCCTGGTTACGTCTAGCAAGTATCAATTCGTCGCAAGAAAGAACAGCCCCTAAGGAAAAGCTTGCGGATGGTCGCTCCGGGAGCCGGCCAGGACCTCGTGCAGCTCTGGCAAGGAGCCCTCGCTGAGCCTCAGCCGCAAGCGGCAGCTCGAGGAGCGAGGCGCCGAAGACGCGTTGGGAAGCGAAAGCCCGGAGCCCGGACCAACGTGGCATCCAGGCAACGATTGCGGAAAACCTCGGCTTCGCAGGAACAGCGGCGGCCCGGTGTCGTGCGAGGAGGCGCAGGAGTGGCACGGCTTCGGCACCAAACCTGTTGCCGACCTCAAGGCCAACAACACCAAGCCGGCAGCGCCGCGCACGCTCGAGCTCTGGGATGCTGCTTGCGCCGGGCTGCGGCCGACACGGCGGTACCGGG